GGATAACAGCGCCGGCGCCGGACGCTTCTCCAGCGACATCTCACTGCCGACCTCCCCGCGGCCCCAGCAACAATGCTTCCAACTCCCCCACACCACCACCAACTCCTCCACCACCTCCTTCCCCCGCCCATCCGCCGGCCCCGGCTCCACCACCACCTCCGCCGTCCGCGAGGGTGGCGCGCTCCCGCTGCGCGCCTACGAAGAAGCCTCTGTTAGTAGCCCGACGGCGCCCAGCTACGCGACCACCAAGCAGACGGTGTTTACGCGCGGGCCGCTGTCGCCCGGCGCGGGCGGGATGGCCACGGGTATGCGCACCCCTTGGACGGGGGCACCGGTGCCCTATACCCCCTACCAGCCGTTCTCGCCGGTCGTGCCTATCACGCCGACGGTGGTGACGAAGGCGGATCGGAAGAGGATGAGGAGGATGGAGCCGAGGACGCCGACTGTGGAGATGGTGAGGAGTGAGGAGGATATTTGGTGATTTTTTTTGTGTGTGCTAGCTGTATGTAGGGTGTTCTTTTCTTTTTTTGTAGTTTGGGGGAGGATAATGATTGATTCCATCCATCTATGGCTTGGTTTAAGTTTAGCCCAGGGGTGGCTTTTGCATCTGGCGATGCGGGCGGGTAGAGGAGGATTTGATATCCATAGTGACGAGCAATTGATGAGTTTTCAGTCTGATTAGAGTCCAAGCGAGGTTGAGAGGATCTGAATGATTTCATTTTCCTTCCTTTCCAAAGAAAATACAATTCTTAATTACGGAAAATGCCGTATTGTCAGGGAGCACGATGAAACCGTTAGCCCCGCTCCCTTTGGCCAAAAAAAGGCCGAACTCAAAAAGGGAGCAAGAAATCAAGAAACGAGAAAGAAGTAAAAAAAAGGAAAAAAGTAAAAAATAAGAAGTGATAGTTAAAGAAAACCGGGAAAAACAAATTGAAGATAAAAACCGAGTTAAATAAGAAGTAGGCTTTAAGCTTTTGAATGGCTTTCTTTTCGTTCCTCTCGTAGGGTTTCGGGGCGGCATCTCCACTTGGAGTTCGGTCTTTTTTGGCCAGAGGGTGCCACGGTACCCCTAACCCACCCCCCGATGCCGAACTTGGGCCATATCACCGAAGATCTAGACTTCTACAGCACAGCGGGAGAAGAGCTCTGGCCTCGGTGACGCATGCTGCTTCGAGAACAATCTGGGGAAGCAGAGGAGGCGAAAAATCCTTCAGAGTCCTGGGAACATCCAGGGACCAACAGCTGGTGAATGACGCTCGCTACGCCACGCTCATGTTGTTTCCCGTATCTTGCGGTCACTCCAAGCCCGAACTGGGTCAAGAGCGGAAGAGGCGGTACGGACAGGAGGATGAGAGAAACCTCCGCAATTGAGCCATGTTTAAGGGAGGCAAGTATCGTTGCCGGACGCGGAGCTGAAGCAGGGTCCCGGGTATCCTTCCCGAGATGGTCAGGGAGGCGTTGACCGGAGGCGTCGAGGCGTTCTAGGCCGCAAAACTTACATCACATAGGGCCCATGGCGGGCAGTGTTTTATTCAAATAAAGGACCGGAGGAAAGTGGCCGGACTTCCAAGCTTGTTGCTTGCATGAGAGTGTTGAGAATACATGTCCATACGTCATGTCATACGACGCTAAATCTGGGTTTTGGAGCTAAACGCAGCGAATGGTTGCGCTCGGCTTCCTACTCCAGGTTCTCATTCCATTGCTGGAATTGTTGGCGTAAAATATTAGCTATTCGTACTTCGTGGAAGTTTGGCCTTCATCTACACAGTAGTCAGCACGGCGCCGTTTCATATGCCATGCTCCTTGCGAGAGAAAGTCGAGAGTCCTGTCAATCAGACCCTCGAAAAAGACCCTGGCTTTGCCTGGAACCGTAAACGCCCCGACAGGAGCAGAACGCATTCGTCACAGTCCCCAGCAGCTCCCAACCAATCCGGGCAAGCGTCCGCAACGGTGCCCCTGCCGCACGTGCCATCGAAGGCAAGAGTCTCCACTTGAGCAGCTCGGCCGCATCCGCCTGTCCATCATACGATTCTGGGGCGAATCGTCCCACACATAACCCGATTCTCTGACCTCCCACCTCCAACCTCAAACCATCGCCAACAATCCCAACAACGCCCAACCCCCGCCCCAATTCTGCCGCCAAACAGCCCGCATACAGTCCAAGATTTTAGATACCTGCTGAAGAAATCCTACCTGTGCCGCTTACGAGTTACCGAATTGGTCCAGCACACCACCTTGGGGTCCCCGCACCTGCCCGTCGACCCGTCGTCGCCCTGTTCGTAGGCCCAATCGCTCTTCACCCGGTTGGCCTCGATTGCCGCCTGCGCGACCTGATCCCGTCGCGGCTTGCAGACCCCGGGCCACAGGGTAGAAAGGGACATCATGGCCGACCTCCCGGCTAGCTCGCCCGACCTGTTCGCCAGCCTGGATGGAGGCCTGGACGCTTTTGATATGGGGGATGGGGCACTCGGAGATAGCAGCATTGTAGACTCCTCGGGCCCCGCTGCTACTTCTGCCAATGCCGCTGCGTCCATCGTAGCCGAGACTCCCATTTCCGCTGCAGATGCTGGTGGAAGGAGTGGGACTTTATCGAATTCTCCCCCGGATGTCACCGCCCCCTCCCAGCAGCAGCAGCAACCGGACCTTTTTAGCCCGGTCACGGCTTCGCAATGGGCCTTTCAGGACACCCCCCCGTATGAGTCCCCCATCAGCGACGGGAACTCATTCGGTATCGCACCCCAGCAGACCTGGGATCTTCCGCTCAACCTTGGTCAACTGCCGCAACAGTCATTCTACCTCCAATCAACTACCGCACCCGCCCACGACCCGACTTCTGCGTCCGCGCCTGCCGTAGACAATTTGCCGCTGGCCTCGGCATTTGCCCCGAACTTGCAACCTCGCCAGCCCGAACCTCTACGAACCATTGAAAATACGCTCACACCAGCACAGCGCGAGCGGCTCAAAACAATCGCCATGCCTCCTCACCTTCAGTACCGCTCGCCCCAAAGCGGTGCCGGCAGCCCCGACTCCGCGTCAAGCGGCCATGACAAGGGTAGCCTCTCATCACCGGACGGCGCCGGCCAGTCCAAAGGCTACGGTCGGAAACGCAAGTCGTCAGCTGAGGTTGACGAAGATGATGATGATGACGATCTTGAGCAACCCGTCAAGAGGACAGCGCATAATATGATTGAAAAGCGGTACAGGACCAATCTCAACGAGAAGATAGCAGCGCTGCGAGACAGTGTCCCGTCGCTAAGGATCATGTCGAAGAGCGCCCGGGGACGAAGACACCACCGAGGATCGGGAGGAACTACACGGCTTGACGCCTGCTCATAAGCTCAACAAGGCGACGGTAGGCCGCCCTTTTCTTTTTTTTTTTTTTTCTTTTTTATTTCTCTTTTTCTTCTTCGCCACTACAGGTATCTGACATCCTCCACAGATCCTTAGCAAAGCCACCGAGTACATCAGACATCTCGAGAAACGAAATAACCGCTTGTTCGAGGAAAACAACACTATGCATGAGAGGATATCAGCCTTTGAGAAGCTGTTCATGGCCGGCGCCCTGACCAGCGGGTTACCAAATCCACTGCAGCAACCGCCTACCCCGATACAATATGCCCAAGATGCGGGCAACTTTTTAAACACGCCAATGGCGACACCTCAGTCATCGGATCCCCCGGGGATGATCCCCATTCCGGACAATATGAAACGAATCTTAGCAGCACAACATTTGAACGCAGGTCGTCCATATCCAGTCCCCTCCGCAGCAATTTGGTCAAACTCCTGCGCTAGTGCGTCAGCAGCAACTCCAGCAGCAGCAGCAACAAGCGCAGGTCAGACCGGGCCGGTGGAATCCCTATCTTGGGAAGCTCATGGTGGGTTCTTCTCGCCGGTTTGATGCTGGTGTGCGTGGTCCTCATCGATGACACCGATGACACCGGGTATACCGATGCACGGGGCCTCAATTTCCTGGTGAAACAGCTCGGGCCTTTTCTCCGGGCTCCCATCTTTACTGTCGGGGGCTTCGACGCTTCGATTGTGGTCATGCTTGCCAAGCTGAACCAGCTTTTCTTTTTAGGCGCCTTCCTGTGGGCAGCCTTCTCGTCGTTCTTTGACTTGTCGGTCTTCCGGCCTTCCAAAAAGTCGACGAGCACCGCGGCGGATGTTAAAGCGGTGCCATCTCTCGCCTCGCCCATTCACGTTAGGAGACAGGCCTGGCTCACCGCTATCCAGACCGTTTGGGTTCCGAGGCATAACTTCTTTCTCGAAGCTGCCGCCCTTCTGGTCAAGACGATGAAGTATACTTTGAGGAATGTGGTTGGTTCTCACGGTTACCTCGCGCTCACTGGATTAAGCGCAGAGGAAGAGACTGCCCGAGTCAAGGCGTGGTCAATTGCCCTGGATGCCCAGCTCGCCGGCGGTGATGTTGAGATCAATAAGAGCCGTCTCACACTCACCCTCATTGCCTCGGGTACCCTCCCAGACACACCTCTCCGGCTCATGCTTAAAGCATTGCACATCCGGGTTCTGCTCTGGCGGCTCAACGGCGCGACATGGGCTGCTAACCTAATTGCTGCCAAGCTGGCGAGGATGAAGTGGAACGAAGCAAGACAGCTCAATCGCATCCTCAACTCCCTCCCTGAAGGCGAGTCATCCCTTGACAATGCTCTTCCGGAGCACCTCGCTGCCTTGCTCGAAGAGGACTGTGATGAGGTTCTCAGCGACGTCATCATCCAACGCGCGCACAACCTCGCGTGGAACCAGGAAACAACTCATAACCTCGTCGACAAGATCGACGGCATGGACACCGTCGTCGAAGACCCCGCCGTGCGCTCGCCCATGGACGCTGTTGCGTCCTGGTACTCCAATGCCACCCTCCACCGTGTTCTCTTTAGCAGCCTCCAGCCGCACCCCGAGGACCCTGCCGCCCCCGGCCTGGCAGATGGCATCGCGCTGGCCGTCCGAGTTGCGCCCATCGGCTCCAACGCCCAAGTCCGCGCCCTTATCGCCCGCGCCGTCCTGGCCGATGGCAAGCGCGGCGCCCACATCGTCTCGGCCCTGCAGGCCCTCGGCCCGTCCGCGAACCCGGACAAGCACCCGGACTACAGGAGCGGCGTCCCGCCCCTCATCGACTCCCCCATGACTTCCATCGTGCCGGACCCCGACGCGCAGATGGCTCTGCGCTGCGCCATGGGCATCGCCCAGCTGCAAAAGTTCGAAGATCCCCCCGCCGCCGCCTACCTAACCATCGACTCGGTGCTACCTGCCGCCGCCGCCGTCGCCGACCTGTCACTCCTCGGGTTTACCGCCGCGTTCCACCTCATGGACAGGCTTAACCACCACGCCGTCGCGCGCGAAGCGTGTGCGCACTCGCTGGAGCGCCTCGCTGGGAACCTGCGCATCTGGATGGGCTGCGATAGCGCCGCGGGCCAGAAGGCTGGTGTCGATGCCGCGCTGAGGGCGGATATGATTGGGCGGTGCTTGGCTGTGACTAAGAGTGTGGTTGGCATGGAGGCCGATCCGGGGTATGGAAGTATGGATGAGGAGTGTGTGGCGGATGCGGAGGGTGGTGGGTGTTGATCTGCTCGGTTCTCTTCCTTCTCCCCCATTGTGTGTGTGAGTCCGCTCTGAGGTGAGGGCTATGTCATGTCTTGAGTTTCTCCTTCTCGCGGTGATGAGTGTTTTGTGTTGCCGTTGTTGCATCAGGCATGCGGTACGGCATTTATACTTTTATTTAGTTCCACCACCCTTCTCTTCTTTGTATTTCTTCTCATTTTTTATTTCTTTTTACTTTAGTTACTGCGGATACGTCGTCTTGACTTCGCATGCTACGACACATAGCCTGGATGCGGCGTATCGGCGGCCTTGGGAAGAAGGGGGTTCATACAAAACGGTTGGGCGGAAATAGTCTACTCCATTTTAGGTTGGGCGGGTTAAGTCGGGTCGATTCATCATTTTTTCGACTTTTTGCTAAATTCAGCTGAGCCAGCCAGCCAGTTGTATCGTTAGTTATGGGCTCGAGATGGCCCGGAGACGGTACGGTACAGAAGGCGGCGGGGCTCGAGATGAGTGCGAGGAAAGAACTAGAGAGACTCACTCCTCTCTTTTGCCTTTAGAAAGAAAAGTTCCCAACTTCGATCATATTACCTGCCAGATGTGTATTGCCATATCTCCTTGCGCAGCCCTCACAGCAGTAACAGGAAACAGTTGGTGTTAAATGTCAGTGTCCTTGATATATGAGCTTTTAAGATACATAACGTCCAAAAGGCTCAGATCACCGACGAGCGCAAAAGAGAAACGAGAACGTGAAATACATGCAGGACGGACGGGACATACACGTATACATATACGTATACAGATTATATACATGTATTATATCTACTTGCAACATCTAATTCTATGGTGACGACAACACGGATCGTTCCTTTGGATCCAAAAGCCGAGTGGTTCTAGTTTGTCAATCTTGTTTACAGTGATAGAAAGAAAACAACCGTTGATGATGTTGAACCGGTCGGGAAAACTGTGCTCAAGTGGATAACAATCTGATCATGCATCCTCCTTCACCCGAGAAAAAAACTATCCAAGAAATTCCCTCCTAGATTCCACCAGATCAAACCTTGATACCATTCAGCCTGCCCGCCGAAACTAGCGCAGGCGACTTGGACCGCTGGCGCGGCTGCTGGAGGTGGCGCTGCTCCGGGTTGGGGGTCGCGCGTCTAAGGAGCGAGGGGTCCCCGATGCGAGACGCCATGCTGTCGGGCATGAAATCGGGAGTCGCGGCCCGCGAGTCGAGCGTGTACTCGGTGTCCTGGGTGTAGTCTGTTCGGGCGTGGTGAG